TTGCCCACGAACTGTCTCAGGCGCTCTTTTCTCTCCCTCCACGAAACTGAAGATTCAGGCATCTCTATAGAGAAGAACTTTTCTTGAGTCTTCGGTTTCACTTTCCTTAGACACAAATAATCTATTTCTTCAAAGGCTAGCATGTCAGTTTTTAAATAACTTGTGTAAATGCAAATGAAGGGCACCTGTCATGAAAAAAATTGTTTTTAAAAATTTTTTCCATCTGTATTTCCAAGGAAAACTTAATAAGAGAAATTTGTCGAGGTCAACGTAACTTTCGAGTCATTTGCAACTTCAGAGTAACTGACTCTAGCCCAGGGCAAATTTTTTGTCCCCGCTAACAAAATATGCGCTCCACGAAAAGATCCTGGTAGCAAGTCAAAGGGAAAAATTCTGTGGGGAAGTCAGCAATGAATGTTAACGCACACTTTTCAGGCTTTCCTTTTCATGAAATCAAGTCGCTCAAATCATCCAAGGTTTAAATAGGAGTCTAAGTGCCTGTCTTACTACAACAGAGTTGCTCGCCAAATTAATTCATATCATTCTGAAAACAACATGACTGTTTCATTTCATCAGCAGTGATTCGTTGTTTTAAAGCAGTTATGAAATTTTTAATGACCTAGAACGGACACAAAATATTTTTAACTGCTGTAAAACTCTTAAATAATTTAACAATCAGTCATAGTTGCAAAAATAGATAGGTCCACCCAAATGAACAGATCCCTTCTGCCCTCCAAGAGGTAGCTTCTGACACAGATCCTAGTTTCGCCTGAACTGGTCAAGGTCCAAGCGGACAATTGTCTAGTGTTTTAGCTCCGCGTTTCGGTGTCAACGTCACGTTGCATAAGTAACCTCTTATCAACGTTACGCTTCGTGGAAAACCACAATATCAAGCCATTATGCTTATAAGGGGCTAGAATAGAGAAGTGGCTGAAAAACCACGGTGACAACTTCAAATTAATAGATGACATCTGAGCTATATTTTGGTCAAAAACATAACAATAAGCAGATATGGTGATGTACAAGTGCTGAAACAAAAATACAAACGCTAGCTAATGCTGTGTTTCTCTCGCACTGTTTGAAGCCGGTAGTTCAGTTGGCTCGCCAGCGAACGAGAACGTGGTGAGTACTACCTCTTCACATCCTGATCACAGTGATCTTAGTGTTAAATGGCTTAGTCACATTGCATTCCACCACGTTTGTTTGAGAAAAGTCCTCTATTTTGTGCCGGTGATCTATCAGAATTGAAGATCTACGGCGGACTACAGCGCACTGAATGGCTAAGTGTGGGTGGCAATTCCGAGAGTTTTCCGTCTTAAAATTTGTCGCAACGCGCAAAGGTATCTTTGATCGGTATCAAGATGTCAGGCGGTATTCACACATCGTGATTAACTGTTCCATTTGAGGGGGCAATGATAAAAAAAACCGTGTACCAATTTCGAATCGATTTGCGTAAATACCATCGCTTTTGTTGCCACAGTTCTCCACGCGAACTCTCGGGTTTCTTTGAAAATGTTTTATTATGTTTGGCACCTGCGCATAAAGAGCCAATATATTCGGAGGTCGCCCGAGGGTTCACTGAAAGAATTCTTTAAGAAGATTTACGGCCTAACTAAAGGAATAGTTTGCCGCTAACGTGAAAGGAAACAGATTTAAAAATACTGAGGAACGGAAAGAGGAATGCGGCAGAAATCTGTCGCTTATAATGCGGGCGCTCGAGTTTGACCATTTTGCACTTAACATTCATATCACGTAGCAAGATTGGGACAAGTCGTCGAGGTCAAATTTGCTGCACTTTCAGTTCCTTTTCCTTCCCCTGTGTGGCAATTGTCACTAACAACATGCTTTCAATGCATGTCATCATTTCTGCGAGATGTATCAACATCTGAAATCCTCGATACAGGACACTTTGCCTCTACAAATCACCAAGTATTTACGAAAAAGGAAAAAACTATTAAAACGTAGCCATAACTTATGCGTTTAGAATAACGGGTGATTGCCGGAAATTCGTAAATATCCCATTCTATTTCGAAGAGCATATATCTCGAATCTCGATATTGCAAAATCGTCGAGTTGGATTTAAAAATAAGCTATTTACCTTCTGGTAACTAAAGGCATTCCAAGAGTTGTTGAACGTCATGTGTTACAAATAAAGTTCTAGGATTTTCAGAGTCACGTTGTGTTCTCTGCAAAAGCGTGACGATTTGCAGTAAGGAATATTTGCACGTCTAGGAAAAATTGTTAAACAAATGCAATTTCACCATGAAATATTTATACAGAAACATTTTTAAACTGAGTTTGGAAAGAATTCTCTAAGTTTAATGTGTCTCAACTACGGTAAAAAAAAAGTCTACAAACATATTGCGGGAACACAACAAGGTTTCCTTGAGTGTTTGACATTTGGGCTTTACTATTCAACGAACAGTGACACCGGAAAGTACTTCAACAGATCAAGCAAGGAAAACCTGTTGAAAGAATGAGCTTACAACAAAAACTTAATTGCGAGTTCGTGAAAACTCCACTCGTCGCTCCACATCCGAAGCGCCACAGTCTTTTAACGTGGGTAGATTTATGGTTTAGGGAAAAAACACTTCAATTCACTGAAACCTTGGCTGAACGACCGCCAAACGAACCAGTGCCGAAACATCGGAGAAGCACGCAATGGATTAAACTTTCGTGACGGATAATCGTTTGCAAATAACCGATCTTGGTGGATTTAGCCCTGGGGCAAGCAACGTCAAAGATCCTCAGTCGAGTACAATCATAGCTATAAGACTCTTGAATCGAATCACGCAAAAAGAACACTATCTCACTTCATTATATCAAAACGATCTCTAGATCCATTCTCGCAGGATCTGAGTGAAAAACTGTGTTCTCACTATCTCGTAGGGCCTTTTGGGTAATTTTGCCCGATCGGGGCTAAAGGTTTCCAAGGAGTGAATTATTCTTAGCCTCAGGTAATTAGTGCACACGTGCTGTCGTTCGTTTCTTCTTACATAATCGCGACCTCAATGACTTATCAATGGGCCCTCTTTTCGTGTAGATTTCTTCGTGCGCCATGATCGTACTCTTATGAAACCGCAACTGCGCTTTCCAGTGCTCTTTTAAGGACCTGTCAATCATTTTTCTCTGCTGCACTGAACAGTATTCATTGATTGTGGGGTTACTACATGGTCCACCGCTCTTGTAGCAAAAGGGTGCCGAAGACTCATCCAGAAACTCATCTAGTCTTCTTGTCTCAAGGTTCGGGGTGAAATGATGCCTGAAGTCGAATCAGTCCATCCCATTACCACAAGCCGCAGAAGAGATCGTTACCGGCATAGGTCTTACAGTCAGTACTATGAAGGTAAGAGAAAATATCGCTTGTTGGACTGATCGAAAATTAAATCAGGTGTTGGATAGGACGTGTTCAGTGTAGAGGGACATCAGTCGATACTGCCATTCTTGCAATGGATAGATTTTTCGAGCGAACGCCGGGTCTTTGCAACTGTGTTGTAGCGAAAACCGTCTGGGATTGGAAATGAAGTTGACTCACTAGCTCGCAATCCAAATCGGTTGAATCAAACGGTCTGGGGAATTATAAAACTCGTTAGCAACCGAAGAATGAAAGGTTTAAACACCACGAAAGATGATCACTCGCCTTAGTGGCATTGAATTCATTACCGCGTTTAGATAGAGTTCAACTTTTGATAGGGGCACAGAGCCGATTTTGCCCACAACAGCCACATGTTAATGGCTTGTTTAGGGACAAATTTGACTTGGAGCCAACTTTTACCATGACGGCCTCTTAAAGTTAAATATTATGTTACAAGCAAAAACACGGTCAACCTACCCACAAGAAAACTCAAAGCGAAACGTTCTTACTAGAAATCCAACACCGCAACAAACTGAAAATCGATTGGGAGGCGTGGAAGAGGCGTCTGCAGCCATGAGCTGGCGACTGAGGGTGAGACTGTGTTACAAGAAAGCGAGTTTCGGACAGCGCATCGTTTCAAAACTTTTTGTCAATGATAGCTCTCCACGAGCATCTTTGCAGACCGATCTCTCATTTGTCGTCTACCTCTTGCTAGTTGTAAAATATTTGTCAAAGTTGGTTCATCTCGGAAGAAAGAGACGTTCGCAAAGATCGTTATTGTTCTAGGTTGACCCGATCACGTTCATTTAACTCTAAACAAATAAAAACTAATCTAAACAAACCTTTATATTAGAATCCAAATTTTGATTGCTCCTTCATTTGCTAGAGAAATGATGGTTTCAAGGAGAGAAAAGAAATGATTACATGCACAGAGAAATCAGAGGTTCAAAAATTGTCGGCTCTAACGGAATTCGAAGAAATTTTATGTTTATCCGCAAAATTGCCTTTTGCCTGACGCAAGACAGTTTTTGTGATGTGCAAATAATAGTTGACCAAAACTGACTTGTACATTTGAATCTTCAAAACTCAATAATTTTCATATAAGTATAGGAGACTGTTTTTTTCGGGGTAAATATTTTATTATTTTCCTTTCGGTAAAACTTCGCTTCTTAAAACCGTCTACGACGTGGTTATCAGCGCCAACTCTTTCTAATGAATAGACGCAGACAAACGGTTGGGTAATTTTTAGAGGGAAATCAATCAAAGAAGTCTGCTCTTTTGACAACTTTGTTTGACTCTCGTGTATGACTTGTATTCATAATTGGTCTATTATGCCCCGGCACCTTTTGTGTGAAGTCTCTGACGAGGACAGCAATCAAGATGCATCAAGATGCGAGGTTAGATCTACGCCAACGAACTTCCACTCGCCTGAGGTTATCTCGGAAAAACAAAGATTTCGAACAAAACGGATGTTGTTGCTAAGTGTTTCGCCGCCTTACCTTCATGAACCCAAATCAAAGTTACGTCAATTTCGTGCCCTTAACAAATGAAACAACGATTACAGGTCCCCGGGGTATATGATAAACAAAATGTGTTTTGAGAACTTTGCAAAGCCGTTCGATAAACTTTCGAAATTACTTCAAAAGATATTTTTTTTTCTGTTAACCGACAATTCTCACAGTTAGGGGGTTAGTTCGGAAGTAGTGCGCAACGGGAATACCGTTGCTGCGTGCGTCCGGATACAGTAAGTAACAAAACTGCGAAATCACTCTCGGCGACAAGCGAAGGTTGTGGTCGGGTTATCAAACGAGCCATCAAAGAGCACGGTTACAAAAGTATCTGTTTGTCCGGTTTGTTTACATACTGGTTTTTCTCTTCTGTCTACTCAATCAGTTCTGTAAATCAGAACTTGTTACTTTTAAGTCTATCTTTGAGGTTGCTTTGACTGTCATTAATTGTTAAAGACCGTCTTTGTTCTGCGCAGCAAACTACAATGGAATTGGCTTTTCGCGCGTGACGTCACTGGACATTGTTTATCGGCCAATCAGGATCGGGAATTTATTGATTTCAATTAATAGGATCTGCCCCCGCGTCAATCAATGAATGATTAGCAAGTCACTCGCAGCTACACACCAAACTTAATTCCATTAGAAAATGCGGCGAATAAGTGGCAAATTATGAAAGTCTCTACAACGTCCGACGCTTTAAGTCGAGCTCGGCAATTGCCAATGCATGCTCTGTGTGTCACGCTATCTGAAGTGATGTGAGATTATTTATAGTCGGGATACGTATTCATGGTTCTGAACGCTTGCGAAAGCGACAGTCTAACAGAACCGGTGGAGAGGGTTTCGCCATCTTGCAGAACGGTAACCCAATCTCCAAGAGCCATGAACGAGTCAATCCAAAGCGCAAGAGGGCAACGTAGATACCGTACAACACGTCCCTACGAAGATGACGTCGAGCGAAGCGACGACGAACCGAGGATAGGCTCGCCGACTTCGATGAATATACACAGTGAGCCTGCCGAAGGCTTGGGCGAAATGTCTCCGAGGGTTGATAGCGACGGGTCTTCTTCGTCTGGGGCTAAAAAGAAAGGACTTCAGAAGCTTGCTTCGGGAGCCATTGCTAACATCGGATCGGTTTTTAGGGGGGGTACTACTGGTGGTGAGTCAGAGGGGCGAAGTGACTTAAGTGCGGGTAGAGCGTCTAGGAATACATCGAAGGGCTCGTCTAATAGTTCTGATTTCACTGTCGACTCTGATTCAGGGATGCAGGAGAAGCTGTCACCGCCTTCCAACAAGGAGAAATTTTTTCAGAAGGGCTGGCGAAATCGGCTGAAGGTCATTCCCAACGCAGGCAATGCCCTGTGGATTCCTCAGGTATGGCTGCGGCCGCTTTCACTGCGCTGACTGCTCAATGTCGCGTTACTCTGGTTCGCGATGAACTGTGATTGAATTTGTTGTAATGCGCCAGCGTCTAAGATTAAGCGGAAGGCGTGGATTGATTTACCAATCGTGGAAATTGTATTAGATAGGTTACGCACAGCCATTTTTTCATCGGCATATTCTGTACCTCTGTTCATTCCACGCGTTCTTGACCTTGCTTAAATATCGAGTGTCATCACACATCTCGATGCTTCAAGCGTGCACCTATAAACCCATTTGACCAGCGCTTATTCGGTTCGAGCGGGGCTTTCACTCGCGTTTGCGCTAGATTCTAAAAAAAGGGGCAGCTAATTATTTTGGCAAACTATCTAGGGGCATTCCGCTGTCTTCCGCCATAAATAAATCAAAATTTAGCAGAAGATAAATACAGAAGTCGCCTACATTGTCAGGAACACGTTCTTGTGCAAGCATCACCTCAAAGGCCTAACTAGAGTTTACGAGAGATTTTGTAATGTGTTCCTAAAACCTCACTACACATTTTCGTGAAATTGCAAAAGCTTTGCATCAACGATGAGGTGTATTTAAGACGATCCTAACAAGACCCTATCTTTTCTTCTCTCCGTTGTACAGGATAACTTCAGCTGGTGCTCTGTGGAAGGACGCAGACTTCAGCTAACAGACACTCAACTTTCAGCTCTGTCCGAACCGGAGTGTGTTGCTCTTCAAAGAGTCGCTCAAACTCGGTTAAAGCAATTGGATTTTAAAAGTCACGTTACAATACCTAAAGGTACGAGTGGTGCAATAATCCTTACAATATTCTCTCTTTTATCTATTTATTTTTTATTTCTCTTAATGGCTCTCCGCACTTACTTGATCCCAGTATTTTCGTTATTTCTTTTTCCTTGTGATAAATGCACTGGTAAATGCGCTAAACAATCAAGTCAATTAGAAACATATTATCGACCTTTCCGGTCAAGAGCTGCTTACTGTTGAACAAGTAATTCTATGCACTGAAAGTGAAATGTAATGAAAGTGACTTTTGCAGCGTTTCAATTCACTGCAGTTGACAATTATCACAGGGAAATATTCGTCAGTGCAATATTGGTTTTAGAATTGCTGAAGGTGCGATTTTAATGTGCTAAAAAAACACTGTAAATGCAATTACCGTAAACTACATACACATATATCTACACTTGAAACAACAATCACAACAGTGTACGCAACATCAAAAACGGTTCGTTCGATGAGAAATTATAAAATTTTTTTGGCTAAATGAAAAATCGACTCAGGGTTAAATTTCAAAGGTTGAATGAGATAGTTTCGTGTTTTCAAATCACAACATTCGTTAAATACTATCTATTCAGGTAGAAATAATCGTTCTCTGTTGCGGCGAGTACTCCAGCGACTAAGGACAATCAAGTCGGCCAACCTCTTCCGAAACGGAAATGTACGAGAATTGTTTATTTCAATGCTGATTTCACAATAACGCCGGGATTTTTGTTTTCGGCGACGTTCCTGAAATCGCTTCGATAATTTTTCTCATTCTTTCCGATGTCATAACAGCAGAATAAGCGATTATCGTCGTCTTAGCTTGAGCATGCACTACGCTTACGATTGTTTTACAATAATTCTATCCGTTGTGTTCCCCTATGCCCGAGTATCTGCACAAACCCTGAAAGCGTAGAATCGTTTTGACTGAAGGGAATGCAAATTTTCTTGTACCAAATTTCTGTTTAGTCATAATAAACATATCACGGTTTATGAAGTGAGTAATGACCTGTCACCGTTTTTGACATGAGTAATGAAGGCGATGTATTACAATCAGCTCTTGAAATCTCTTAATTCGAGCTGCAACTTTTCATTGGAGCCAACATCAATCTTTATCGTCGTTCTCTTGGCACGTTGACAATGGCTATGCGTCTAAACATAAATCACCCATTCTGAGAGACCTACTTGATTTGTAAATCAGCAACCAATTTGAATCATTTATCAAGAACACTGTTCATCTCGAGAAATTCTGTGGCGAAACTTAACAAGCCATATACGCATAAACTGTCTGTTGAGAAAACATCGAACAAATTGTCAAATCAAAGGACTCGATTTTGATATTCTGCATTTAGTGACTGACATATCAGTTAATCGTTTTAGCTACCTAGCTTCCAAAACAAAAAAAACAAGAGATGACAATTGACATTTTTTATTGATACCTGGCGCAATAGGATCATGGAGAATAATGAAAGCTATTTTTGGTCAAGTTCATTTACTTTCTTTACAGTTTGTTACTTAAAATTAGAAAAGGGCCTGTTTATGTCTAGACTAGTGTTATATGAATCAACTGAAGGTTGTTAAGGACACGTTGGTAATTAGGATGAATATGTGTCCTTTTTACATATCAAATCAGAAAAGTTTGCATGTATTTCATGTAGCAAATACTTGACAGCGAAAGTAATTTTCAGTTTCATTGATGTTTATAATATTAAAGTTTGAGTGTAACAATTTAATTGATCTCGTATTATTCAGTGTAGGTAATAACATGATTTCAAGTGCAATTTGGAGTTATTACCTATACTAAATAATATCAGTTGATTTAAATAGTTTCAATTTTATAAATATCGATAAAACTGAAAGGAATACATCTTGTCATAGCCTAAATCAAACCATTTGTATCTTTTCATTCTAAGATCCACGAAATCCTAGGAAGTCTTTAAAGCGAGCACTGTCATGGAAAAAAGGAAACTCAGGATCAAGTTTACTTGACAAAGACAAAGGTTGTTAATGCAATATTCTCTAAGAAATTTGCTTTCATTATGCACCCAAACCTATGCCACTTGATCTTGCTAATGATCATTACATAGCCAGAGAGGTGGTGATTAGCACAATGGAAGCTAGATTGAGAATTTTGGGTTCACCCACAGGACAGGCCATTAAATGGTGTTCAAGGGCAAGACCTTGAACATTCACAAAGCCTCTCTCCACCAAAAGGCAAAAATGGGTACTAGCAAAATTTCAGTGAAACCTGATAGATTGCTGAGAGCAATTTGCACGGAGTAGTATCTCTTTATGGAGGAGAAATACTTTTAGTCATTTCATGCCCAGGACTGAATGTGTTTGCTAGACGACTTATTGTATCGATACAGTTTTGAAGCAGCGGCAGGGGGGGACCTTCTGAAGAATCCCCAACTGGTCAACAGACAATGTATGGTCAAACATGGGTTTTGTGTGGTCAACTCCTTAGATGGCCACATATTTTGTCCTGTTCTTCACACATGCCTGTAAGAAGTTAATTCTTAGCTAAGTTCCGGTTTTTAATATGGCTGTGTCACTTTTCCTGCATTGAGTTTGAGGCTGCACATATAATAAAGGATATGACATTATGGATACTTGTCTGGCCAAAAATGGGTCTCAATCAAGCCAAGATTTGACCAGACAACTTGACCACCACCAGCCTTTGCATCTGTAAATACTTATAGATTTACTTCTTCATTTTTTCAGAAAATGGTGTATTTGCAATACCCCTTCACAGAGCTGTCTCCACACAAAACCCCCCAGATTCCAGTGAACTAAAAAAATCACAAAAGAATATCAAAGAGGGAACACCATCAATATCATCAACTGGAACCCAAGAAGCATCTGATGACTCTGGGGTGAGAAGACACTCATCTGGATCCAGCATTTCTCAAAGTTCCAGGTCATCTGTGGAAAATTCAAATTCAAATACTGATGAAAAGACTTCCTCCCAAAAAGACCAACCTCTAGAATCGCCGAGTTGGAAATCACGACTTATTGAAGCATTGACACTCCTGTCTTCATCTGCATCTGCATCATGTTTAATGGATAAACAGTCAGTGCTAAGTCCCCTGCAACCTCAAGTTCCACCAATTGTCTTGAATGCTATTGAGCACCTTCACTGTTATGGTATGGCCAGTCTGTGACATAATTATTTTGACTTCAGTTTAAAAAATAGATTCAATTTTGCCATGCATTTGTTCAGTAACAGAACACGGACGACATCCAAATGTGATAACAAAAAGTGGCATACAAAGTGCGCCGAGTGTATCACTTATGTTCTGACCAAATTTATGATCTGTTATGCACAGATCCATGAAGACATGGGATCTATTTGTTTTTTATGATAAAAAAGCTAAAATGTTGTTAATAGTGATGTCATCTATGCATCTGTCCTCCAATACATATAGATCATAAATAAGAGCCAATCAAAATGTGTGTATAATGCACTTATCATGTTACTTATCTCATTTTGCATTAGGCTGCTTAACTGCCATTAAAATTTTATGTGAAAACCTTAGTCCCCGCCTGTGAAGAATGTCCCTGAAACAGCTCACAGAAACTTACTAAGTTTGAATTTGCAAAAAAAAAGAAAAAACTTCACTTTTTTTAATGCAGTACACACAGAGTAGTTTTCAGCACAGACTTGACATAGAGACCTGTGCCTAAGTGTTTTTTTGGTTACAGAAATGCATTTAACAAAACAAATATTTTCTTCCCATTTAGGTCTTCATGTCCTAGGAATATTCAGAGTCGGAGGTTCTAAGAAGCGAATGAAACAAGTAAATTGCATTTTTCTAATTAGTTCATTTGCGATGAGAGAGATGCACTTTATAAAGTAGCAGGAGTAATTTGATTTCCAACCAAATCATTTTTTATTGTTCTGTTTTTCTAATAGATGAGAGATCAGTTTGATTCTGGAGAAAAAACAAAGTTCACAGATGAAGACAACCCACATGATGTGGCGGCATTATTCAAAGAATACTTCAGAGACCTTCCAGAGCCATTGCTTACTCGTGACTTGTACTCTGCCTTCCTAGAAACCCAAAGTAAGTTAAACTATCTGTGATTAAAGGGGGAAAGTTTCTAAAGAAACTGTGGCACTGGATCAACTAATTTGGTTTTTACCATAATTGGCAGTAATGTGGCAATCTGATTGGCCAATTTGCTGTTTTCAAGTACAGACAATACTGTTCATGTCAACGTGTCATGCAATGTGTCACACACTGAAAGAATTGTTTTATTTGATGTCGATACTGTGGTAAAAAACAAATCAACAGTGGTTTAGCGTGGTCTGTTCTCTGAAACACTTCAGTGTTACAAGATAAAACATGTGTGCTTGGCTGAAAAGATTTGACACTTCCTGTTCAAAATCCCCACCCCAGCCATGTAAGGTTCATATTCCCCACCCCCATGCACAAGTCATGTTAAAGCTTCTTATCATATAAGGGGCAAAATTACTGAATTGTGATTGGTCAAGACAGAGGGCATTTTTTCTTAATTTTTGTAATTGTCCCAGGCAAAATTACTTGAAAATGATTGGCTGAAAATCGCTTAGCAACGGCTGCCAAGGTAAAGAGGTTACAGTTTTCCACGCCACTGAAACTTCAGGTATTTTTGGTCTGCAGTGGCAATAGGCACAGAATAATATGCATCCTTTAAATCTATGGATGCCATAAAGCACCCAGGTTTTACCATTTGTAAAACAGTATTAAGTGAGTCCATTTTAAAATGGTGGTATTGTACATGAATGTTTAAACGCTTGAGATTTAAAATTACTCTGAAAGAACCATCCTTTTTGGCCCTAGTGAAAATAGGAGAGATATATTCCCCTTTTTCGTGACCACTTGGGGTAATAACACCCTTAGCAAGGAGTTCAGCCAGTTCAGTATCAATGACATGTTGTTTGTCCAAATCAAGGATTTTCTTCTCATTGGGGACTACTCTTTGATATGGAGTCCTGGTAAACTTGATTGGCTGGCCTGGTATCATTTGCAATATCTCAGGGTCTGAGGTTAAGGCCTGCCACTGATAATAATATTCTTCCCGCCCCCCTGCTTTAAAGCAGTGCACCTTGTGTTCAAGGAACTGTAACATATTTACCTTGTTTGTTGAGATATCAGACCATTTCACTAGCTGGATTTCTTCTCGGTTTCCAGTGATTTATAGGAATTGTGGTTGTGTGGCCGGTAAGGCCGGCCCCTCTTCCCTAAAAAAGGCTTTCCATTTGAGTGAAAAGATTTGCCCCTCCAGCCATCGCTATGGTTGCGATAATATGGCTTTGCAGTAGTCGCATGGCCAATCTTGTTAGTTGCTTTGATATTGTTAAGCTGAGATTACAGCTCACCTCCAAACGATAAACCCGTGATGGGTACTTGAGAGCCACACAACGAGGAATATTCGTTGGTTTGATGGCGTCGCGTCGACAGTATGATAGGTCAATGTTTATATGGCCTAACAATGCCAGAGTGTCAGCATTATACATGATTTATCATATAAGGGGCAAAATTACTGAATTGTGATTGGTTGAGACAGAGGGCATTTTTTTCTTAATTTTTGTAATTGCCCTGGGCAAAGTTACTTGAAAATGATTGGCTGAAAATCACTTAGCAACAGCTGCCAAGGTAAAGAAATTTCTGTTTGTTCTGTAACAATGGCATCCTGTTTTGTGCGAGATCAGTAAGAAAACATTTTGCCCCTTTTATTTAGAAACAAGTAATCACATGGTTCCTTGTAAAATTAAAGTGCACCTAAACCCGAATTTTTTTTTCACTTAACAAAATAAGTTTATTTTTTGGAGTATTTCTGTGCAAAAATTTTTTAATTTGCTCAAAATCTTTAATTTTCTGTGCCCAGTCAAAATACGGAAAATCGGCCCCCATCTTGCCCCACGACCGAGTTTAAAGAGAAATGGCTCTAGCGGGTAATGTGACATCAAATCGAGAACACGAAAGTCTGCATTTCACACATTTTCACTTGTTTGGGAAGGTTGTCGTTGATATTGTCTGAAATATGCTGACTAGGTGTGTTGTATGAGCCATGTATGAAGCGCGATACCCTCTTGCAAATTTCGCATATTGCTACATCCTTCTACAACACACTTAGTCGGCATATTTTCAGAGAATATCAACTACAACCTTCCCAAACAAGTGAAAATGTGTGAAATGCAGACTTTCGTGTTCCCGATTTGACGTCACATTACCCGCTAGAGCCATTCCTCTTTAAACTCGGTCGTGGGGCAAGATGGCGGCCGATTTTCCGTATTTTGACTGGGCACAGAAAATTGAAGATTTAAGCAAATAAAAAAACTTCTGCACAGAAATACTCCAAAAAATACGCTTATTTCGTTAACCGGAAAAAAAAATTTGGGTTTAGGTGCACTTTAAGGATTAATATCACTTGTGTTTTCGGAAGTTGCAGAAATTGCCCTCTTCGCTGCGCGACTCGGGCAATTTCAGCAACTTCCGAAAACACGCGTGATATTAATCCTTAATTTTACTCGGCCCCATGCGATTACCTATACAAATTGATTGGTTCATTACATTTGTTAATTTGGTTTTTTCAGCCTTCGATAATCCAAGTATGCAAATCTCAGCTCTTCGACTTCTTTGCTGTCTTCTACCAGCACCAAACAGAGACACATTAAAGGTACTCCTGGAATTTCTCTCTGAGGTAGCGCAATGGGCAGAAGACAGCATCGACGACAAAGGCAAAGAGGTAAGTTTTTCTACACACCATAAGCTTAATTCAATCAATAACCACAAAGCAAACTGGGTCTTTTTTACGAAATCTTGATGAATTTTCTACCACCAAGACTTTGACAAGCAATGTAAGCGGTATTCATCTTTCCATTTCATCCTTATTGATTTATAACCTACCTCTGTAACTTGAGCTAAAGAGGTGACTCTGATCTTTTCGTCCAAATGACTGCAGCTCACCACGTACAACTCAGTCCCGCCATTTTGGTTGAGAATCAATTGAGAGGAGTCTGGTGCCCGACTAAATCTATGTTTTTTCTTTCGACTCCAGTTCCCATTAGTCGTAAAAATTTTTGTTAGCGTCCGTTTTTGTTTCGTATGGTCGGTGATTTCTGTTATTTTTGTGGTTTTGGAATATATACCAACAGCTTGAGTCAAAATGACAAGATTTGTGCAATCATTTGGCATTGTTTTGAGGAGATTAATTATTGTTTAAAGCAGGAAAAGAAACGGGTAAAAAAGGTTCCCTAGGGATGTAAACTGGCCTAAAAATGTAGACAATGATCTTATGAAACCGTAAATTCTAAAAAAAAATTTGCTCTTTCAGATTCCTGGAAACAAAATGAACTCCAGAAACTTAGCCATTATAATTGGCCCGAATATTTTACACAAGGTATGTAAAGGAGTAGTAAAAGTTGAATTTCATAGAATTCGAAATTTACATTTGAATATTTTTTTTGCATCGTCGTCTAGTCTTTTTTTTTTAAATTTTTCTTTTGTTTCTACTTTGAATTCTTGTTCCTCGTAGGTAAAAGGGCAACATCACGACTTTCTTGTAGAAGACAAGGCCCGTGCAGATGAAAGGAAGGAGATAATTGATGTGGTGCAAGACATGATTGAACATCACGACGAGTTGTTTCAGGTAGTGACTGTTACATTTTCGTAACTTCCGTGAGTAACGTATTTGTGCACGATCCTCGTAGTAAAGAGAACTATTTAAGCAATAGTGAAAGTCAGACCTGAAAAAATTCAGGCCTATACGGAATTCGAACCACTGACCTCTGCGCTACTAGTGCAGCGCTCTACCAATTGAGCTAACAAGCTATCTGAGAGCAGGTCATCAAATTAATTCGACATAAACCCGTAAGATGATAAATCAAACACATTGAATATATAGGTCTGATTTTCACTATTGCTTAAATAGTGCTCTTTCCTGCGAAGACCGTGCACAAACATGTTTCTATAGCCGCAGTTCTGTGAGTAAGTCTGAAAATTTGAAATGTCACGCAATGAAGCCTTCCACCCAAACCCCCCACCATCCCCCGCACCCCACCCCACCTATCACCAATTGAGCTGCCTGCATCGGACACATTCCTTTCCCGCCGGTGTTAGCAAATGACAGAGGACGCTTCCATAACAAGAAACTCTGCTTGCCAAAACACAGCTGTCAAAGGTAGGGTATGCGCATGGCGATCAATTTTGGCCGTCCGTGTGTCAATTTTCCGAGCAACATTTCAATGCAAAACAGAAGAAACAACCGCTGTCTCGCAGAAAAAGCGACATAAAATAGAATTTTCAAAGAAAATTCTAAAAGGAAACAACAATAAGGCAAAAGAAAACTCCAGACTTTAAATAACGCAAGGCTCTTTCAATTACAGGTATCCTGTTGATTTTCCATACTGTTTTGAGGTTTACCGTAAAAGTTATACGCTTCTAAAACACCTTGACTTACAGTCTTGTGTGGTCGTCTTTATCATGTGAGACAATTTGGTTGTGAGAGCCTGCGGAAAGCACGCCAAATATTCGTTACAACGGCCGCACATGCGCAGACGTTTGACCACCGTGTTGCCCGTCAATCACCCGCAACCAATCCGATTCCGTATGTCATCTGCGTCGTTAGTTAATCGTTCAAAAAATTTAGCCGATGGCGTCACTTGAAGATCATAATGAAAGTTTTCGTGTCTTATCAGATTTATCAGTATCGACAGTTTACGCGTTTTCGTATCTTCCATCAAAAACAACAACATACTTTAAAGCTTTCCCATGGGGCCAAGAAAGGAAGTTTAAAACCAATGTATGCAGTTTTGCGGTCGTATGCGTTATCGTGTGACGTAGTCATAGGGGAAGTTCGTGCTGTCTTCAACTTGAGTTTATTTCAAACAGCAAGCGCAGCACTATATACACTCTCTCTCAGAGGGAGCCGCTTAGATATAGTATTCTAGCCAACTGTCCACTAACATTTTCGGTATTTTTTCCATTCCGATCTGTACACCACCTTCCACTGCTACATGTTTGCGGGAAAAACATACAAAAGACCGAGATCAAACTGCTATCACAATGAGATAGGAATGCAGGCGCCCCTAAGGCGACTTTTGTAGGAAGTCATGCGCTGATGCACATGGCCAATGTTTTGAACAAGTTGAACAACAGGAAAAAGAAACTTCTACGGTTGAGTTTTAATGACAAAGATCTCTCCAAAGTTACGCTTGCGTTCCTAGAAACGAGTGAGAAGGGTTAGAGATTCTTCGCACATACATGAAATATTTACTCAACGCGATCTTCCCTCAGCCTGCGCAGCATCCTAATTTTTTTTTCTGTCTACGCATACGATAACTTCCAATACTTTGTTGTGCTCATGCACTCCTAAATCTAAATAGATGCTGTTGACATTCTTTTCTCTTTTTTTTTTTTTTTTCATTCTTTTAGATTTCAGCAGAAATGCATCATGACGCACTGATTCATCTTTTGGACAATGAACCGGAACTACTGGATTTAATTTTAAGAAGAAGGTTATTGAGAACACACGGAGTGAGGTAAAAAGTGTGAAACACATTCTTCTTGGAAGTGAGGATTTTGAATGCTGTGAGGTGGACCAACCTGTCAACATTGTCTGACAACTCTGCATGTTTAAACGTAAACTGTGATTTCATTATTAAATAAAGGGATTGTATAGTGTAAGCACGACACCCTTTAAGCTTAGAAATTTCATCTGTTTTTAATGGTGCTTGATGAGTACCCCTGATTTAAAAAAAAAAAATTACCCTACTCCTATCTCCCAGAGTATATATAATGATTGTTCCCTAGGACTTACAAGCCTAATAACCCACTAGTCTCAGTTTATTGGGCATAACAGACTGGAATGGGGGCGAAACCAGGAATTTTGGATGTGGGAGGGGGGGAAGGAGAGGGGGGAGAGGGGGAGGGGGAAGGATCCAAGCTATGATCCAGAGAATACAGCTCTCTCTTTTTACACTAGAGTAAAGAACTATTTCAAGATAAGTGAATTTTTTATACTTTTAAGTTGATCAGTGATGCGATCCTGTAGTTAGAGAATCTTGGCTTAAAAACGTACTAAAAATACCCACGTGTGATGGAGGGAAGCGTAGACTCCCGAATCCTCTCCCACTGTAGTTTATGGCTACTCCTTGTGAATGCCATGTTCGCCTTTAAGAAAATATTAGCTGCATCTCTTACCTTCATCTAAGCCTCTCATTCCCTAAATTTTCTAAACAGCTCTGAAACGGAAGACGACCCTTTCATTTACGAAGAAAGTGGTAAGGCAGAGACGCCAATAAGAGGACGCGTCATGTCCGCTGGGGCGGCAGAACGTCCCGTAACACGTTTTCCGAACGCGTCTGGTTCGCGTTCTTTCAACGACTCAAACTGGCGCACGAGACAACATCCTTCACCGCGCACAGTGACACGCAGTAGTAGTGACAGATCAAATCACAGTGCTGCATTTCCAAATCGTAGTTATTCTTTTAATCAAGACGATGCCAGGTATCACCGAGAACACATGTTCGGGCGGCAGATGTCCTCTTCCGACGATTACGCGTCGACGATGAGTTACAATTCAAATTATAGACAAAACAAACGAAAGACACCGCCGCTGGTAAGACCTACGTGCAGATACGAAGGATCAGCTTTTGAGCAACCTCCGTCTCCTGCTCTTTCTTCAGGGTCGACTTCAGTTTCTTATTCAAACTATTCCACACCTCCTTCATCTCCTTCATCTACTGCTTTCGTTTCTGCGGAATCCACTTCTTCATCACCAATCCCAGTCCGGGCCTACGTAGCTGACGATGGACATTTGATAAAAGAATGGACCACCTTGCAAACTGAAATTGAAGTCGAATTGGCCCGGGACAGAAACAAGGAGTTCACTCATAATCAGCCTTTTGATTCTAGAACGTTTAGCCTTTCAGACTGGCAGCTGGAGAATTGGTTCCAGTGGGAATCAAAAACTCAGCAAAACAGCAGCCAGAAAGACTTTCTTGAGCAGGAAACTCTAGTGTAGGAATTCCACGGTAACTGCTTTATTTTTAGTGCTTGAATAGTAAAAGAGTTCAGTTTATTTAAACAGTCGAGTAGAGCAGACAGTCGAGGAGAGCAGACACCATTTTCGTCGACTCATAAAATTTCAGTGCCCTTCATCAATCAAAATAAGAGGAGGTACGTCATACATATGGATATGTAAGCCTACCTATACCACTGACCAGTGCAGTGAACGCAATCAATTCAAAACAACCGGAAGTTTACTGTCATCTGGTCTTTGTTCCCTCAACTAATAATATCTCAACACTAGAGTTAGAAATAGAGGTTTTTACTGTTAACAAAGCGGAGGATATCGCGAGAGAAGCATTTATTTATGTAAAAAAAATATATTAATTAGAAAACGAGTGCCTTTTCTATATTCTACATCTGGATAGAAGAAATGAAAATATCATACAAATCTACACTACGTGTAGACGCTAAGAGTAAAACCGACTTTGGTGAATTCCTTCCTGTTGTTGAAGGTGTATATACGTAATAAAGCAAGTTTGAGAACGCACATAACACAAGGCCGGTGAGAGTAGTAATATACCCAGGGCTCCTACGGCCAGGAGCCGGAGAGTATCTGGGTACTAGTAGTCTCGAGAGATGCATACAACCGGCCAAAGTAAAGCTAGAAATGTAAGATTGGCAACGTGTACTTAATTTAAGCTTCGGGAGATGGCGAAAGATCTTCGGTGAAGATTACGTGGAAAATTTTCGTTCTTATCTTCGGTTTGATCTCGTTCATGCGACAATTTTTTTCGTAACATTGACTGATTTTAAAGTGCGATTGTCATAACAAAAATACGTTAAGTCTAATTAAATTAGCATGCTTCGCATTAGAATGTGGTATTTTCAGAAATGTTTTATTTGCATGACTATTTTGTTGTTAATGCATATCGTTAGAATAGCGCGTACATTCCCCCCCAATTAATCCTTTTCGGGCCCGTAAATTTTTTCTACCGCTGAAAAATTCTCCCTAAATATTGTAGCTTATAAAAACAGCCTCATTTTTCCCTGCTAGTTTGTGCGCAAAACATGAAAACTCGCAACAACCAATAAGGCCATCCTTTAACATGTTTCCTCGACTTTCACCCTCCCTTGTGAAACAAAAACAAACGCAAAACAAAGGTTCGAAGACACCTGGGTTCAGGAAGAGCCTAACTGCCACTTAAGTAGGCCGTTTGCTAAGAAATAGGTCTTATTGCAATAACCAAATTCACCCCAAGCCTCACTTTCAAGTCGCAGACTAGTGACTCTTGATGAAACGTTTAACACAAAACTCTTGATTTCAAAAGAATACCCACATGAAAAAGATTCCTGAAAATTTTTTAGTGCAGACAAGGCTTGGGAATGAATTTTCAGTAAATGACGTATTGTGCATGAGAGCTATTTTTTTCCTTTATTCAAACGTTCCCGATCTGATCAAAAAGTTTAAAAATCAGGTATAAACGATTTCTATTTACAAGCTTGAATATGAAATTGAGAAAGTTAATTCAGTTGGTTTTGAAATAAAAGTTCCGATTGTCATACAAAGTTTCTAGACTTGTTATTTTGTTTTGTTTGTTTGGTTGTTAGTGTCCTTTTACTTGGGAAATATGTAAACGGTAGACAGCAGAATTTTCAAATAAATTATGTCTTGAAAAAACAATGACATTTGACGGGTTATTTCGTAGCAGCTCACAATAAGGGTGCAATTAATTGACCAAAGTCCACTTTGGGACCACCCCTTGCTTGCGACCTATTCCTTTGAGGGTATCCAGTGGCGGATCCAGGGGGGTCCGGACCCCCCCTATCAAACCTGACGCTTACAACTTTGAGACAGGATCGTATATCACTTTTAACTGGCTGATTTTTTTAATGAATCCAAATAAACGGTAAGCGGCCAAGGAATTATAACGTGCAACCGCGACTGGTCGGAGGGGGTGTGGGGGAGAAGTAATTTGCGTTAAAGAGTCCAACAGTCCGTTCTGAACCAAAGTTTGGACCCCCCCCCCTAATAAAAAATTCCTGGATCCGCCTCTGGTATCTGGAGATTTTCTCCCATTTGCGAGTTCGCCTTCCAACCACCTTTACTAGCTGCCCCCTGATCATGAAAAACAGGATGTCAATTAATATTTTTCTACAGTTCCTCATACTATGTTGCTAACGACGGATCCCCTATTCGTTCCCCCCTAAAAACCATGTGTTCCCCCCCAATCCTCTGATTCCTCCCTTAAAATCCTCCGATCTCTTCCACCCCTCCCGGATGATAAGTAATGATTGATCCCTCAGGTATGTTACGAATCACAGATTAAGCACCCTCTGGAGGGTAATGGGGCTAAAGGCACTCACTATGCGCGGGTTCGAGCCCCGGCCGGGACATTGTGTTGTGTTCTTATGCAAGACACTTTACTCTCACAGTACCTCTCTTCACCCAGGTGTATAAATGGGTACCGGCGCAGTTTAATGCTGAGGGTAACCCTGCGATGGACTGGCATCCCATCCAGGGGGGAGTAGAAATACTCCTAGTCGCTTCATGCTACAGAAACTGGAGTTAAGCACCGGCCTAATGAGCCACTAGGCTGGTAAACAGACTTTACCTTACCTTTCTGAATGATGCGATTAGTAGAGTTTTTCAAACAGTCCCTAGATTAAATAATTTGGATATATCAACAAAGTTGAAATGGTAAATTGGCCACCGTAATGATTACAAAAGCTGACGTTTCGAGCGTTAGCCCTTCGTCGGAGCGAATAGAGGAATTGTGGGTTGTGTGTGCTTTTAAAGGCAGAAAATGGAGCTACGTATTGGTGGGTGCATGGCAACGAGAAAAACATGAATAAATTAGTGGAATGAAAAGCGTTCATTGATCCCTGTGGGATTTAGACTGCCGGTTTGAAAGATGAGCTTTTGTTCAAGATTTTTACGGCTTTCCGTGCCACCTAAGTGCAAGGAAAGACCGCAGATTGCCATATGTTGCTTAGAATGATTGGGTAAATTAAAATGTCTAGCGACTGGTTTCGATGTGTCCTTGTCATTCCTTTCCACGTCTCGAAGGTGTTCTCGGAATCGGTCACCTAGTCTTCTGCCTGTTTCGCCGATGTATATCTTTTTGCAATAAGTGCAAGTTATGCAATAGATTACATTAGCGGAGGTGCACGTGAAGTGATCGGTGATCTTAATGGATCGTTTAGGTCCCGATATTTTATCAGTGTTGTGAATGAAAGGACACGTTTTGCATCGTGCACGAGCGCATTTAAAAGTGCCTGGTTGCTCATTAGTCTGAAAAGAACTTCTGACCAAAAAATTGCTTAAGTTTTTGTCGCGTTTGAATGAAAGATTAAATAAATGCTCATAAAAAAAGAAAAAAAAAAAAAAAAGAAACGGATACGAAGTGGAACTTGAACTATAGTTTTCTTTCTGTTATCTGTCTTTTCCACTACCTCGTTAGGCTTGGTAACCTATCGATGAAAACAGTGAGTGGTTACCCGGCATAGTAGCTTTCTCGCAACCACGAGGTCGCCGGATAACAATTACCGTCTTTCAAATATAAACTTGGGTATCTTTTAGTGATCAGCACATGTCTTTTCGTGGCCGAGGAGGGGGCCGTGGAGGTGGTGGTCGAGGTGGCCGTGGCGGTTTTCGAGGCGGTGGTCGTGGTGGTGGAAGGGGAGGTTTTCAACAGAGAGATTTTGGGCCTCCCGATCATGTTACAGGTAATGATACACCTTTCTCCTAGCTAAGTTAGACACTATTCTGAATGATTGCTATATTCAGCAAGCTAAATCGCTACTTCGGTCGCCACTCATTACCAGACTAGTATGAGTTACTTAGATCAGAGCTCACTCTACTGTACCGCGCAATGGAGAGAGACAGGAATTAACGCAGCACTTGGGAAAGCAACAACCAAATAAACTCTTTAGGCCTTCCCGGTAATTACCGCTGAATATAAAACAGGTACATGGGTTGATGGCACAGTCGATGGTGATGGTTCTTAGACGTGCGTCTGATCGATTGCAGTGGATTGCAAACGATCATTATAGAGAAAAGGAAAAGTTCTTTTACCTGCAATCATCTGCAGTGGCTACAGTTACATGGAAGTGTACCTATGCAGTTTCAAATCCCTACTACCCTTTGAATCCCGATAATGTGCGATACTACCCTCCGTCCCCCGGTTAGCTCAATTGGTTAGAGTGCCGGATTGTGTCCACATCAGCAAAATTGCCACCATAAACTCAACCCACTCAAACAAATAAAAGATGAATGAATGAATGAATGAATCCCAATAATGTGCGACCCAAATTTTAGTGACTCTATTGAAATTGCAACTCCATTAAAGTCAATCCAGTTATGAAAAATGCGACCCACTCCAGTGGCAGGAGGTACTCCCCCTGGGGAATTGATGCTGGTTCCCCCCTCTCCCTAAAAGCTTCTGTATTTGAACACTATACCTCCCTCATAGTATTGTTACTCATTTACACTCTATAGTGGAGAGGAACATTGTGAGGGTTGGGTATCTCTCTGAAGAACACAGGAAAACAAGCGATACAGGGCTCAAATGTAGAACTCTCGATTAAGCGTTAACCCTATAGCTCCCAGAAGTGTTTTACATTTAACTTCTCTCTGTGATTTCCATACAATATCCAGCAAACAGGTAACGAGAATACATATTGAGTAGAAGTTTTTATCTAGATTTAACGCCAAATTCTCATAACTTATTTACAAGGAAAAGTGTAGCAGCTAGAGGGAAGAATTAAAACAGATTGTGGGAGTTTAAAAGTTAAGTGCATCAATCCCAAAAGGCATCCAATTTACTCAATAACATTGTTGATTAAAATTTTTTTTTTTCAATTTTGCTTGATAACTAACATGATGTTTCCATTTTTCCTAGAGCTTGGACAAGTGCTCCACACTTGCGAGGGAGATCTAGTGTGTAAATGTACAAATGAGAAGATTCCATACTTTAATGCTCCAGTGTACTTAGAAAACAAGTCACAGATTGGCAAAGTAGATGATATCTTTGGTCCCATGACAGATTTTGTATCCTTGACCTAATGACACAAAAATAATGATACTGTATCCCTTAATGATGCATCACCTTGCAAAATTTCATATTTTTCAACAACAAGCTATTGCAACAGAAAAGTTGCAGAGACTGATACAAGTAAATATACAGAACCAATGTTTTAAACAATTGCAGAAAAGAAACCTGGTAAAAATTTAAGCTTCAATGAGCTGCAAACCCGTGCCTCACAAGTACACATTGGGCTCTACTACCAACTGAGCTACAGAGCATGCACATTTTAAGGGTTCTTTCTTTCCCATGGAGGAGTCTGATTTGAATTTTTGATGAAATAAATTCATTAGGCCTGGGGATGAAAATCAAAGTAAAGTGATGATCCTTGCTAATGAGCTGCGATTTAAGTAATTGCAGAAAAGCCAGAACACTTTACTTTTTGTTCTCCATAGTATGTAGAAATACACGGCATTATTTGTTTGGGGCATTATCTTCTGTATCTTACAGTTTTAAATTACCCTTAAAGAATATATGAAAAAAGCTATTACAGAAAGAAATTTCATTTTAGAGTTTTCCTTAACTATATGTTTGTTACACAGTATTTCTCAGTAAAGGTAAACACAGATATGAAAGCTTCATCATTTAAAAAAGATCAAAAGGTGAGGAAACATTAAATGGAGGGGTCAGTTCCTCAACAGTAGAAAACTTTTGCCCCTTGGGTAAGAAGAAAGGGATCCTGTAACTTAGAAACAAAGATATAGTAGAACTCTGCTAACTCAAACTCCCAAGAGAAGCAAAACAATGGTTCTGGTCATTGGGGATTCATTGTATACACCAAATGCAAATATGGCATCCAATTTGAGTTGCCATTGTTCTGGACTCACTAGGCTCTCACACGTGTAATAATCCTTTTGTGTTTCCATGTGAAGACGAGGTTAGTGAGTCCAGAACAATGACAACTCAAATTGGACGCCATATTTGCATTTGGCGTATTGGGACTGGTGTTGAATTTAGTGATCCTGTTAATAATTGATAAAGAATCATGTTTTTGCCATTTTTTACACAATTAACAGAGCTTTTTTCATAAGAATGTCCAGTTTGGGAAATTTAGCTTCCAGGTACTTTATTACAATTAAATGATGTTATCAAGTTCTTATCAGTGGCAATTAAAGATAGGGAAGTGTCAGTCAGCTATGTTCTGACACTTTTGAATCAATGCATTTTCACAGGACAGTTTTGCCATGGATGGCACAGGATTCCTAATTAAGTAATCATACAATTATTTGATCAAAGTTTTTAGTATTGGATATATTATATTTTTTGCTAGAAGTGCAGCAAACTATTTCAGTCTTATGCTGTCTGTACCATACATGTACATTACCTCATCTGTTGAACATTAGAATCTTTAATATTTACCATTAAAAACTTTTCCATTTACTATTTCACAGCTCAGGCTTGAAGGTTAGATTATCAGGGAGGTTGAGTTAATGGAGTTCAAGTCAGCTGAAAGTGAATGCCAGAAAAATAAAAAAAAAACAGGTCAAATCCTAGGGAAATTGGATCTTGTTTGAGTTAGCTGAGGTTCAGATTAACGGCTTCAAGTTGGTGGGGTCAATTTAATATGCTTGAGTTAGTGGGAATCTGCTGAATATTTTTCAACTTTTAGTCTGCTTCTTTGCAGTTCTTCATTGATCCTATGAAGTTGTTACCTTTAGCCCGATTTCTCCCCAAACCACCTGGGCAGAAGGGTATGTAATTATTTATGACACATATGGGCATTCTATGCCAATGTTGTGAAAGACTCTGCAAATACAGTGGAGCCTTATATTCTTGGTTCTCTGATGTCTGAAACTTCTTGTTACTCAACACTTCATTGTACCAACCTTTGGTGCAGATTCGTGTCAATGCATCACCGAGACACAAATTTTGAATTTTTTTACTCCAGGGGTGTCCTGTTTTTACTTACCATAATTGTTGCTGTAGTACATTTTGTGTAAAATTACATGTGCTAAGGAAGAATTATGGTTTGAAGTGGGAGATATAGGGTCATAATTGTTGCGCACTGGATTCTGGGTCAAGGGGTCTGGGGTGGAGACCTGGTAGCATCAATGTCTTGAGTTTTTTTGGCAAAATACTGTACTTTCACAGTGCCTCTCTCCAGCGCAGAGTATAAATTAGTACTGGCGAATTGTCAGGAAGCTTGAAGAAATTTTGGGTGGTAACTTTGTGATGGATTAGCATCCCTTCTTGAAAGGAGTAGAGATACTCTTAGTCACTTCATGCAAAGGAAACCAGGATAAACTCTAACTTGCTGGGCTACTTTGCTTAAGTACAGAGTGTAACTGCCAACAAGTCAGGTTCAATTATGCGCTTTAAAATTTATTTGCATTACAGTCAATTGTGGTTGAAAGGTTGTATGATTTTGTCAACACGAAGAAGAGAAAAAAACTAAGAGCTGATGGCTAGTGAAGGAATCAATGTTAACCTAACAGACTCTAATACTCCAGTGCTGAATTTTACTGAGAAGCTTATACAAAATGAAATTAAACAAAGAAAAATTATATGAAAAAATCTAACAGAATATGAATTGCAGTGAGTGAAAGATTGCAAAAACACAGTAAGAAAAATGCATGTACAAAACACAAAAATGTAATTGGGAACATAAATGGGAATGCCACACTAACACAGGCTTTACTTTAGAAGACATGAAGTAGAAAGGATATTGAGATAAAGGAGAAGTTATGTTTCATGACATAGATTGAGATATGGATCAGTCCATGTCCATCTTTTCTGTAGTCCTGTCATGGCTGATTTCATATCTGATCTCTCCCTTTTAGGACCCCCAGGGGGTGTTGGAGGTAGAGGAAGAGGTTTGTCAAACTCACCTTCATTACATAATGACTTTTTGTTTGTCTTGGTGATGTAAAATTTCTGCTACTTACACATTTGTTTTTTTTCTTGAAATTTCAGGAGGCAGAGGAGGTCGTGGTGGTGGACGTGGTCGAGGTGGTGGAGGCTTTCGTGGAGGAGGCAGAGGTGGTGGAAGGGGTGGAGGAGGACGAGGATTCAGGGGGGGAGGGTTCAGAGGCGGTGGTGGTGGTGGATTTAGAGGTAGTTCTTTTTGGAAAAGCTAGTTAATTGAGAAAAATGATTGGAAAAAATGGGGACAGTTTGAAACCTTTCAACTGCTCAGATCTTGTTTGTTATTTTCTTTCTAAAACTATTGTCCTCTGAAAGAAATTGCATTGAAAATTAAGTTGACATGTTTCATTTTCATTTCTTCTCTAAGGTCGTGGAAGATGAAAAGGATGCAAAGAATTATGGAGTACTTCAGCGCGGCTTAATTTAACAAATGTACATATTTTGTTAGGTATCACTATACCAGAATTCATGTTGCAGTTTTATGACCTTGGTGCGGATACTTCTCAACTTAAAAATTTAAAATCTCTATTTTTCTCTTCATTATTGTTTTCTGTTCCATACACTGCCTTACGCTGGGTTATGTCTTGGAATCACATAACTGAATTAAAATCTCGCATTCTGATTGGTTATCGAAGGATAATGATATTGTTTCACATCTCTTGTTTTGCTTGGCATTTCTTTGCAAGTCAGTCATGTACATTTGGGGTTAGATCAAAATAACTTTAGCCTGCAGTGCGGGCTTCTTATTGGGGCAAGTTAACGTTGAGAAGCACGTGATCATGTTTGTAAGTGGCCATATTTATATTCACTCCCCCACCCCTGCCCCTCTCCTTATTTTTTCCTGTCACTTACCCCCCACTTGCCCAGTACAAAATTTCTTTCTCTCCCCAGCCTTCTGCCTCCACTCAATGAATCAAAGATGGCGGCGATATTTCGCTAAAAAGATAGACAGCACTGGCTCGCCTAAACTACGTCTGCTCTGCAATACTCGCTTTCTGCCAGTGATCTCTAAGCTTTCAACTCAGCTGTTCAATGAAGAAAAAAAGAGATGTAAAAAAATACATCTTTTTAAAGTGCACCTAGACCCAAAAATTTTTTTTCGCTTAACGAAATAAGCGTATTTTTTGGAGTATTTCTGTGCAAACATTTTTTTATTTGCTCAAATCTTCAATTGTCTGTGCCCAGTCAAAATACGGAAAATCGGCCGCCATCTTGCCCCACGGCCGAGTTTAAAGAGGAATGGCTCTAGCAGGTAATGTGACGTCAAATCGAGAACACGAAAGTCTGCATTTCACACCTTTTCCCTTGTTTGGGAAGGTTGTAGTCGATTTTGTCCGAAAATATGCCGACTAAGTGTGTTATAGGAGGATGTAGCAACGTGCGAAATTTGCAAGAGGGTATCACGCTTCATACATTCCTCATACAACACACCTCAACCTTCCCAAACAAGTGAAAATGTGTGAAAAGCAGACTTTCGTGTTCTCGATTTGACGTCACATTATCCGCTAGAGCCATTCCTCTTTAAACTCGGTCGTAGGGCAAGATGGCGGCCGATTTTCCGTATTTTGACTAGGCACAGAAAATTTAAGATTTAAGCAAATTAAAAAATTTTTGCACAGAAATACTCCAAAAAATAAGCTTATTTCGTTAAGCGAAAAAACATTTTTGGGTTTGGGTGCACTTTAAGTTTATAAAGGAAACTGGGGCCAATTTTACTTTTATCTGTAACATGGAATGTTAAATAGCATGATAAACCAGTTTCCTGTTTGATAGTTACAAACTCTTCGTATTTCAAAGCTATTTTATTACAGCACATTCTGATGAAACACCTCAGAATTGAGCATGGCACCCGAGCAGCCAGCGAGAGCTCGAAGTAAAATAAGCACACAATATGAAGCGCGTGAAAATGCGAGGGGGTAAGTCGTGACTCGTACTAGTTGTTCATCTGATTGGTCGAGACCGCAAGGCGAGTTTTCTAGACCAATCACCAACCGAAGTAAAGCAAAGCTAATGCATTTGATCGAGTGTCACTTACCACAGCTAAAGCCAATCAGGGGAAAGAAAAATGTCACAAGAAGCCAGTGAAAATGCAAAGGTCAAAACCAAAAAAGGTTTCATAACGCGGGAAACTTCGCTGACCAGGTAGCAATTTGTCTTAGTTTTGAATACGATTTGTTGAGAGGACAGTGCGTATTCTTTGGGCCAATTGTAAAACGAGGTAAGGAAATTTAAAGTAAACCCAGATTTGTTTCAACACCCTACTGAAACTCGCTTTAAACTTATGGATGACTTCCGACACACGAATTTTTAAAATTCATTAAACAGCTGTCTCAAGAGCTATCTGTTCACGATGTGCACGTTCTTGTAAGGGAGGGGTACGAGGTTGTAGTCATGCCTTATGCGGTTCTTCAAATCGCGCCATTGGTGCAGTGGCTTCTGTTTTGGAGGGATTAGTTGGTAGTATGTCCCGCCTGTAGTGGTTTGACAAATGTCTGGAAGCCGCAGAGTGTCCCGTGAGTGTATCTCGCTCGTGGCTGCGCGTGTTTCTTCACGCTTGCTTTCTCGTGTCCCGGCTCTAGTTCCAATCCATTCGTCTTTTTCCGTCTGGTTCTCTTTCGACTTCTGTTTCTTGCCCAGATCCTGCGAATTCCAAAAAAAGAACTTCAGTAGGAAGGTGAGGTATCGGTTCGGCGTTTTTTTCAATTAACTTGCCGTTACCAATCAATTTCGCGTCGTCGTCCTAGATACGGGATGTCGATACTGTAGTTACAATTCCTTGCAATTTATAGATTGCGGCTGGAACGTCATTTCAAGAAAGTGGAAGGCTCTGCTTGAACAAATAATGGTAACTCTTTAAGTTAGCTTCGACCCTCTTCAGCTTACGTGCTATTCACTTGAGCTTGGCTCAAACAATGGTAAACATTGGCAGAAAACTCTGGTAACCATTGACATCTGGTAAACATTGACATAAATGGAACTTTTGTTTGCTGTGCTTTACACTTTTAATCAAATCAGGTAAACAATACGAATTCTTCGCAAAATAAAGTGGCACCCCCGAGTTGAGTTCAAAATGAGGAAAAATTTTGCATTTCATAATGAACACAATTACAATGCCTCGAAATAGTTAAGTGAAATTTAGACTCACTCGTGTATATTTTTCTTTTAGGCGTGCCAAAGCAAGATGTTTTCTTTCGATTACCCGCTGTCGCCTCAATGCTTCTTGATGATAAGCCATATGATACATTTCCAAGCTTAAAATTTACTAAAGCACCCGAAAAAAGAGTCCAATATGGCCCCTTTTGTGATCACTGTAAAAAGATTGCACTGAAAAATCCAAATTTGTGACCAAAAAGATCTTATTAACACGTTGTTAAACTGTATTGTCTTAGTTATTGCTTTAAGGGTGTAAGGGTGCGCTCTCTTGGGACTGTGTTGTTTGGTGTGTGTGCTAGTAAATGACATTCTATAAAAGAGTAAACACGTATCAAATGAGTACATAATTACAAATGTTTGACACTTAAATGATTGCGATGTTACTTACACCGCGGAAACTTCTCGCTGTCATAGATTTCGTCGTCTTCTCGCGATTGCGCAAACTTGTGCGCGACTAAGTCGAATTAAAATGGACATGCATACATCTGGAAAAAAGAGTGAGGTTTTTTAGCCAAAACAAAGGCTGTTTGCACGCAAGATGAGTGCTTTGTCTGTGAAATTTATCAAACGGGTTTCTGTAAGCAAAGGATTTAATTCTCTCTCTGTAGAGAAGCTCTTAATCTCTTTTATATATATTGTGTGCCATTCTTTGGATAGCAGAGGGTCCCGGGAGATTTATCTGGAGGGCCTGGCTAAATTTGAAACGTGATCGAGGCTGCGTCGCCCTGTAAAGCTGCACAATTGTGCGAACATCTGTCAGGGCAATTGGATTCCAAGTGAAGATGACCGCTTTTCATCAGGAAGCTCAGAGAAAACAGCGCGTCATAGACAGAAAACATGAAGCACTTGGAAGGTTGAGTGATCGCAAGGTGAAACAACTAGCTATTAGAAGGGATTTCGTGGAAATGCTTCATCTATACCTACGATGGCCTATGTTACCCTCTTGTGAACAAAATAGTATACTATGTTCTTAAAACAAGTCCTTTCCGAACATTTTTAAAAGTTCTTGTCGCAATTTTAACGCAATGCGTTTTTCAAATTCATCACTTCGCTAGTTGTAGTATCGATAAAGCTGACCCGAAAATAGAGCAAAGAATTAAGAAACTTGTAATGAAACTTTGTCATAGTAAGGTTTTTTTAAGTCTTTTCTTTCACAATTCAGGTTGCCAAGGATTTTATTGTTTACTTTAACTCTCGGACAAATGCAAATCGAATCTGCGCGACAAAGTTATACAAAACATGATTGTTCAATTCATTGTGTTTATTCAGTATTATCAGTCCAAATTATTCATGGAAAAAACTGCCACCTCCAGTATTGATTTTTTTTTTGTTTTGTTTTCCACTGGACCTTTCATATACTGTAGGAAGTAATTTAAAACAATTATCTTTCCTTACCCTTCGATGAGTAATCAATCACAATTGATCCCCTGGGGGGAGGAGTCGGGGTATTTTAGAGAGATCGCATGGTTTTTTCAGGGGGAACGAGGGGGGAATCAGTCGTCTCTAACAGAATACAAAGCTATCCATTGAGCTAACCGCCTACCGGTTAGCTCAATGGATAGAGCACTGGACTGTTATGCGGGAGGTCGAGGGTTCGAGCCCCGGCCGAACCAACACTCAAGGTCTTAAAATAATTGAGAAGAATATGCTACCTTTCTATAACATCAAGAAATGGTTAGATATTCTAGTCTTCTCGGATAGGGACGAATAAATGGAGGTCCCGTCTCCT